TTAAGAGCCAAGAAGAAAGAAGGGTGTTTTCGTCTTTTTAGGCAAAATGGTATTTTGATAATTTCATAGTGCAATTAAATTTGCTAGGGTCGTAGCCTTTATTTAATTTGTTAGAAAATTAAATAAGTGAAATTACAGTTAAATGTGTGTTCGCACATATTTAATTAAATCATCATTATTGTTAAATGTTAATTAAATATTAATTGATTTTAATTGAAGATAATGATGAATTAAATAAATATCTAATTGGGAGTATTTGGCAACATGGGGTGTTTGGGTTGTAACCCAAGCCTATTCCATATGGGAATAGGTCAACTAAAATAATACTATAAAAGAAAAGTTTTAGTTGAAAAATTTAGAAGAGTTTTTCATTATTTCATTTTGATTAAAAAGAGAAAAATACAGCACCCCAAATACTCTCCCACGCCAGTTTTTGGTTGTTGCCAAAATCAAATACTTTTTGTTCTTCTTGATTTCTTAAGGCCAAGGAGGATCTAGCAAATCCCTCCTTGGTTCTTAGCGATTGTCTTCATGTGGACTTCTTGGTTCGATCCTACACTTGGATCGGTAGCAAACACGATCAGAGACAATATTGGTGGAGCCTTCAACGTGAGTATGAATCTAAACTTTAGATTTAATTTTTATGCAGATTCTTGATGAAATACATAAACTGTAAAATTTGTGCCTTGATTTTGGGCTTTAAGAAACGATCTATGGTTGTATAAATTTTTGTTTTCCGCTGCACAACCAGGTCGTTTCCTAACAATTGCATCCATCACTAGAGAATATGTTTCTTCATAATCAATGTCAAGTCTTTGCGAAAACCCTCTTGCTACAAGGCGTGCTTTATATCTTATGACTTCATTTTTCTCATTTCGTTTTCGTACAAATACCCATTTGTACCCCACCAGTATTACATCTTTAGGTGTTCAGACTACAGGTCCAAAAACTCCACGATTTTCTAATGAATTCAGTTCTGCCTTGATTGCGTCTTTCCATTTTGGCCAATATTCTCTCTCTCTACATTCTTCAACAGATTTAGGTTCAAGATCCTATTATTATTTACAATATCAAGCGCTATATTATACGCAAAAATGTTGTCGACAATTATTTCTTTTCGATTCCATATTTTTCTTGTTGATACATAATTTATTGAGATCTCTTCATTCTTGATAGTTTCAGGTACCTGAACTTCTTCTAGAGTTTCATGATTAAATATGTCTCTATTCTCTTCATGAGAACTTGCCTCCTTGATGTAAATATATTAGTCATTTGCTACTCTTTTCTTTTGAGGATTTTATCTTTGGAACCAATTAGGCTACCACGCTTTAAATGTGCCTTAGATTCATTTGCTGCAGGTAATTGTCCTTCAAGGACATCAATCCGAATTGGAGCATTTGCATTTGGTATGTGAGATTTAGTCACTTTTTTTTTTTTTTTAAATCAGTGAATGCATATGGCAACTGATTTGCTACATTTTGCAAATGAATTATGTTTTGAACTTCTTGTTCACATTGTTTAGAACGAGGATCAAGATAAGATAATAACGACATTTTCCAGGTAATTTCCTTTTCCAATTGCCTATTCTCTCCCCTTAATGCTGGGAATTTTGTTTCATCAAAATGACAGTCGGCAAATCGTGCAGTAAATAATCTCCTGTTAATGGTTCTAAATATTTAATTATAGAAGGAGATTCATATTCAACATATATTCCCAATCTCCTTTGGGGACCCATTTTAGTGCGTTGTGGTGGAGCAATTGGAACATATACTGCACATCCAAATATTCTTAAATGGGAAATATTTGGCTCTTGACCAAAAGCCAATTGTAAAGGGGAGAATTTGTGATAACTTGTTGGCTTAATGCGTACAAGTGTTGCTGCATGTGAAATAGCATGTCCCCAAGCAGAACTTGGGAGCTTTGTTCTCATAAGTAATGGTCTAGCAATCAATTGGAGGCGTTTAATAAATGACTCTGCTAGACCATTTTGTGTACGAACATGGGCAACAGTCTTTTCAATTGTTATTTCGATTGACATACAATAATCATTAAAAGCCTAAGACATAAATTCACCAGCATTATTAAGACGTATTGTCTTAATTGTATAATCTGGAAATTGTGCTCGCAATTGAATTGTTTGGGCAAGTAATCTCATAAACGCCAGGTTGCGAGTAGATAATAAACACATATGGGACCATCTTGTAGATGCATCTACTACGACCATAAAATATCTAAATGGTCCACATGGTGGATGAATAGGCCCACATATATCACCTTGAATTCGTTCTAAAAATGTAGGTGATTCAATTCCAATTTTAATCGGTGATGGTCTAATAATTAATTTACCTTGAGAATAAGTAGCACAAGAAAATTCATTAGATTGAAAAATCTTCTGGTTTTTCAATGGATGTCCATGTGAATTCTCAATTATTCTTCACATCATTATTGAACCAGGATGGCCTAACCGATCATACCAAATAATAAAAGTATTAGGGTCAGTAAACTTCTGGTTTACTATAACATGTGTTTCAAATACACTGATATTTTTGTAGTATAATTCGGAAGAAAAAGCAGGTAATTTTTCCAACTCACATTTCTTGCCTACAATTATTCTTGTAATATAAAGATATTCAATATTTCCTTCATTTGTTGTCTCAATATGATATCCATTACAATGAATATCTTTAAAACTTAATAAGTTTCTTTTAGACTTGGAAGAAAATAATGCATCTTTTATAATAAACTGTGTTCCTCCGGGCAATAATATATTAGCTCTTCCAGAGCTTCAATTAATCTTGTACAACCAGATATTGTATTTATGTTAGCTTCACACATTATCAATGAAGAAAAATAGTTTCTTTCTTTAAGTATAAGTGTGCGTTGTAGCACTGTCTGCGAGACAAAGATCTTCGTCATCAATTTGGATCCAATCATAGACTTGAGAATGTCCATTTTTCTTTATTCAAAAACAAAATACATAGTAAGGCATATTACAAAGCCAACAAAACAAAGTAATTTATCTAAAATTGAAAATCACACTTAAACATATTTAAAGTAAAACACTCATTAAAAGCAAAACACTCAACTTAAACATATTAAAAGTAAAACACTCAACGTAAATAAATTAAATTTAAAACACTAACAAAAACATAACTTTAATAATTTTGGACATTCCTATCCCCAATTAATGATCAATTCTCCCTTCGGGATTTTTGAAGAAATCTGCAACATCCAAATGTGTTATATCATCAGGTCCATGATCAAAATTATCATCTTAATAAGCAAAATTTGCTTCTCTATTTTCATTTTGGTAGGCAAAATTTGCTTTCGTATTTGTCTCTTTTTCTTTCAACGATGCTTGATAAAGTTCAACAAGATGTTTAGGCGTACGACAGGTACGTGACCAATGTCCTTTCATGCCACATCGATAGCACAAATTTTCTGTATTCTTCGAATTTTTATATTGTCCACTTTTGCCCTTTTCCTTTTTCTCTTCATTATTATTCCACTTCCGGTGGCTTTTATAATTAAAAGAGTTATAGTTATAACCACTACGGTTGTGATTATTACGACTTTGACCACGTCCATGACCACGACCACAACCATGGCCATGACCTCACCCACGCCCATGATTATTAGATTTTGTCACATTCACTTTAAGGAATGGAGTAGATACTGTTGGGCAAGCTTCATGATTTTTCATTAATAGCTCATTATTTTGTTTAGCCATAAAAAGACAAAAAATTATTTCAGAATATTTTTGAAAACCTTTTCTCTATATTCTTGCTGCAAGAGCACATTTGATGCATGAAAAGTAGAGAATGTTTTCTCTAACATATCTTCATCAGTAATATTTACTCCGCACAATTTCAATTGAGAACTAATTCTAAATACTGCAAAGTTATATTCAATTACTGATTTAAAATCTTATAAATGTAAATGCATCCAATCATAACGAGCTCTAGGAAGAATCACAATTTTTTTGTGGTCATACCTTTCCTTCAAATTTTCCCAAAGAGTAAGTGGATCTTTTACTGTAAGGTATTCAGTTTTCAATCCTTCATGGAGATGATGTCAAAGGAAAATTATGGCTTTAGCCTTATCTTGATTGGATGATTCATTTCCTTCTTTGATGGTGTCACCAAGACTGTTAGAACTCTAGGGTTTACTACCTAATATTAATTGAACATATCAGTAATCAATTTAGAACCAGTAAATAGAGCTATGAACAAATGAAGAGAAAATCAACCAAGAACACACAAGACACAACAATTATAGTGGTTCGGCTTTGCAGCCTACATCCGCTCTCCAAGGCTCATAGTAGGGTATTCTTATTAATAACCAACACAGTACAGAGTAATGATCAAAGCAGAGAAGAAAAGTTTACAAAGGAAAGAACACAACCAATCCAACAACACTAGGTTTTCTCCAATATGAGATCTGCATATCTTTTTCATCAATCAGGGTTAAATACACGTGCACACTTCCTTGATCAACCTCCACCTGTCTTTGATTTCTCCATAACCGTAAGATGAGTAACAATCGAGAAGGTTCCTTGGAGTCTGACATTTTGTTGAGATAAAGGGCGAGAGGAGATGCAAATGAGAGAAGTGTGATATGCGAAATGCATAAAGCATTAAACCATTATTAACCCAAAACACTGTCGCATCTCTATTTGACCATTTAAAGAAGAGTTGACTTCCACCAGGGCAATTAAGAAGTCATATCATCACAATTCTCCACCTTGGCTTCTTGATTTGACACCCCATGTGGCCTTGGAATGCATATGTTCACTCTTAAACTTGAAGAAGGCTCATACGGAGCCTATGTTTCTCAATTGGAATTGGTTTAGTGAACATATCAGCAGGGTTATGTGAACCATCAATTTTTTCAATCTCGATTTCTCCTTTTTCAATCATTTCCCTAATGAAATGAAGGCGAACATCTATGTGTTTGGTTCTTTCATGGAACACTTGGTTTTTATAGAGATGGATTGCACTCTAGCTATCACTGTTTATCTTCACTGTTTGTTGCTCAATACCCAACTCATTTACAAGACCTTTCAACCAGGTAGCTTCCTTTGCTACCTCTGTCAATACCACATACTCTGACTCTGTTGAGGACAGGGTAACCATATGTTGTAGTTTGGATTTAGAACTAACAGTATTTCCCCACAAAGTAAATACAAAACCAAAGGTTGACTTCCTCCTATCCATATCCCCTGCATAATCTGCATCAGCAAAACCCTCAATACAATTATTATAACTTTGATTTCGCTTAAACACAATGCCCACTGATTTGGTTCCATTCAAGTATCTCATAATCCATTTTAGAGCCATCCAGTGAGACTTTCCTGGATTGCTCATAAACCTGCTTACCAAACTTACAACAAAACCCAAGTTTGGTCTTGAACACACCATCAGGTACATTAAGCTTTCTAGTGCACTTGCATAAGGAATTTATGCCATCTCCAACTTCTCTTTTTCAGTCTGTGGACTCTGCTCATGTGAAAGCTTCAGATGGGCTCCAAGAGGAGTTTGAACAGTCTTTGCATCTTGCATGTTGAATTTTTGTAGGATTTACAGCATAGTATTTGTTGTACTAACTTCAGGCTTCCAGAAGTTCTAATTCTGATAATAGAAACACCAAGAATTTTCTAAGCCTGTGTCCCAGCTCCTTCATTTCAATCTTGGTGTTCAGTAACTTCTTCAATCAACACAGCTCAGTTTTATCATGGCATGCCACAAGCATATCATCTACATACAACACTAAAAAAATTTGAGTTAGTTTAGAGATTCTTTTAAAATAAAAACAGCTACCAAAATTACATCTGTTAAACCCATTTCTATCATAAAAGAATCAAATTTCTTATACCACTGTTGTGGTGACTGCGTCCAACCATATAATGATTTTTTAACAGACAAACTTTACCTGTAGCACTGTTCTATCCTTCAAGTTGTTCCATTAAGATGCTTTCTTCCGAATCCCCATGCAAGAAAGTTGTCTTCACATCGAGTTGTTCTAATTCCAGGTTGAATTGAACTACAAGAAAGAGCAGTACCCTGATGGATGTATGTTTGACCACTCGAGAAAAAATTTCATTATAATCAACCCCCTTTACTTGTGTAAATCCTTTTGCAACTAACATAGCTTTGTACCTAGGTGCTTCCTTAGATGTTAATCCTGGTTTTCTTTTGAAAATCCATTTGCATTTGACCAATCTACAATCTTTTGGTTTATTAACCAAAATCCATGTTTTATTCTTCATTAGAGAATCAAATTCTTCTTCAATGGCTCTCTTCCATTATAATTGTTCAGGTCCTGAAACTACTTCTTGGAAGGTCTTAGGTTCATCATTCATCTCTTCTTCCACCTGAAGTGCATAAGCAACTAGGTCTGAAAAACCTAATCTATTAGGAGGTCTGATTGTTCTTCTAATTCTATCGCTTCATAACTAATAATCTGTCAAGTTTGATGCATCTACAACTGGTGCCTCCTAACATACTTCATGATCAGCATTTGGTTCCTTCTCATGAGTATTTAATTCCTCAACTCCACCTTGATTCAAACTTGGGCTGAAATTGGAGTCATGCACTTCTAGTTCTAAGTGTTCTAATCCTGGATAGCAGCCCTCAGATACATCAGATTTACCTTCTAAACCAAGTAGGATATCTTCTTTGAAAATAACATCTCTACTCACAGTGCACTTCTTAGATTCTAAATTCCAGAACTTATAGCCTTTAACTCCATCTGGATATCCTAAGAAGATGCATTTAATGGCTTTAGGTTTTAATTTGTCATCCTTTACATGAACATAAGCAAGACACCCAAAAACTCTAAGATTTTCCAGGTTTACAGGATGACCAGTCCATTTCTCAAGTGGAACCCTAAAACCTATAGCTGAAGAAGATGTTCTATTTATCAAATAGACCATAGTATGGGCTGCTTCTGCCCAGAACTTAACTGACAGTTTAGAACATGACAGAATGCTTCTCACTTTTTCTAGAATGAAGAAAATTCATCCTTTCATAGAGACCATTATGTTGTGGAGTGTAGCTTACTGTCGTATGTCTAACAATCCCATGAACTCTACAGTAATTATTGAATTCTTCATTGACAAATTCTAAATCATTGTCAGTTCTCAACTTCTTTAGTTTCTTTCCAATTTGGTTTTCAACAATGGTTTTCCATTCTCTAAATCTAGAAAATGCTTCATCCTTGGTTTTGAGGAAATAGATCCAAACATACTAAGAGTAGTCATCTACAAAACTGATAAAGTACCTACATCCTCCGAGGGAATAATGCCTAGAAGGATCCAATACATCAGAATGCACATACTCAAGTGGTGAGTTTGAGTAGTGTTGTCCAAATCCCAAATTTCACTCTACTCATTTTTCCAAATATGCAATGCTCACAGAATGTCAGGTTTCTTGTTTTATCCCCACACAGTAGGTTTTGATTACTAAGTTCTCCTAGACCTCTTTCACTGACATGGGAAAGTCTTTGGTGCCACAACTTGGTTTTATCTTCCCCTCAGTTGACCCAATAGTAGCCACTCCACTATCAGTACTGCCTTTCAACACATACATACCATTTTGCTTTTCAGCCTTCATAACTATCAAAGACCCTTTCAAAACACTGAGACTCCCATTAGTAGCCTTATAACTTAAACCTATAGAGTCTAATGTTCCAAGAGAGATAAGGTTTCTTTTGAGGTCAGGGATATATCTAACATCAGTAAGGGTTTTAGTTAATCCATTATGGAGATTCAACTTAACAGAGCTTATTCCCTTAATATAACAGACATCATTATTCCCCATTATCACTTTTCCACCATCTAAATATTGAAAAGAGCTAAACCATTCCCTATTAGGTGTCATATGATAGGTGCTACCAGTGTCTAAAATCCACTCATCACTAATCTTGCCTTCTGAAACAACTAGAACTTCTGAACTCTCATAACCCTCTGATACTACCCCTACACTACCTCCATCACCCTCTTTCTCATATTTCTTTTTCTTTCTCTCAAAACAGTCTCTCCTAAGGTGAGCCTCCTTATGGCAGAAAAAACACTTCCATTTTCCAGTCTTAGATTTTGACCTATGTCTATTCTGCCCCCCTTTTTCCAGTTCTTCTTCTCAAATCTTCCTGTAACTACAAGACCCTCACCATCACTCACATTTCTTTATCTAATCCTATTTCAATGTCCTTAGCTGAGATAGCCTCTACTACTTCTTCTAACTTCAAAGTTTGTCTACCATATTTCAAAGTTTCTACAAAATTTGAGTAAGTTTTGGGTAAAGAATTTAACGGGATCACAGCTTGATCTTCATCAGCAATTTAAACTGAGATACTTTCTAAATCTTGTATAATCTTAAGAAAGTCATCTTTATTATCCTTTAGTGATTTTTGTTCATCCATCTTAAACCCAAATAAACTCTGTTTTAGAAATAATCTATTAGGAACAGTCTTTGACTAGTAAAGAGAGTCGAACCTGTTCCATATCTCAACAGTAGTTTTTTCTTTCTTGACTTCTCGAAGTACTTTATCACCCAAGCGGAGGATCAGTGAGCTTTTGGCCTTGTTCAACGTATCTTGCTGTTCTGCAATGGTTAAGGTGTCAAGTAACCCGGCTTCTCCCTTCAAAGCTAAAGCCAAACCCTCCTTAATCAGAACTGCTTCCATCTTTATTTTCCATAATCCAAAATCGTTTTCACCTGTAAACTTTTCAAGCTCAAACTTAGTTGACATGTTTTTCTCATAGATTCAAAAAACACCCAGCAATAGAAAAGTAATCAGTTAAGAAAACCCAAAACTAAATTTAGGCACGATTAAACCAGTGAAACCCTAACTGAACCTTCAACAAGGCTCTGATACCAATTTGTTAGAACTCTAGGGTTTACTGCCTAATACTAATTGAACATATCAATAATCAATTTAGAACTAGTAAATAGAGCTATGAACAAATGAAGAGAAAATCAACCAAGAACACACAAGACACAACAATTATAGTGGTTCAGCTTTGCAGCCTACATCCACTCTCCAAGGCTATTCTTATTAATAACCAACACAGTACAGAGTAATGATCAAAGCAAAAAAGAAAAGTTTACAAAGGAGAGAACACACCCAATCCGAAAACCCTAGGTTTTCTCCAATATGAGATTTACATATCGCCTTTATCAATCAGGGTTAAATACACGTGCACTCTTCCTTGATCAACCTCCATCTGTCTTCGATTTCTCCATAACCGTAAGATGAGTAACAATTGAGAAGGTTCCTTGGAGTCTGACATTCTGTTGAGATAAAGGGCGAGAGGAGGTGCAAATGAGAGAAGTGTGATATGCGAAATGCATAAAGCATTAACCCAAAACGCCATCACATCTCTGTTTGACCACTTAAAGAAGAGTTGACTCCCACCGTGGCAATTAAGAAGCCACATCATCACAAAGACCCATAGCATCTAAGTGAATTTCAGCATCAAGAATCCACGACAAATAATTCTTGCCCGTAATATCAAGAGCCACAAATTCAAGTTTCGTAAGATTTATCATGACGAAAACTATAAAAGAAATATTTAATAAATTAGACAATCTCTAATAAAATGAAAATATTACTACAAATAAGAGTTTAGAATAACAATAACTCACATACAATTTATTACGATTATAGAAAATTTAATCATTTGACAACACAAATCATAAAAGCAAATATTTACAAATATATGTATGTCTTTTCATATTAATCAAATTATAAATCTATCAGTATACAATGTTTTGTTTGTAATGAAATCAAAACATTCCAAATTAAAACACTTGCATATATTTTATACTATAAAAATGGTTAAACATTCCAACATATTTATAAGGCATATTGAGATACAAGCAAAATTGAATTTACTTGGCAAATGGAAAACCTCAACTCCAAATTTGATAAGAGACAAAAGCTTGAAACTTGATGAGAATTATTTTTTTCTTTGACAAGTTGATATGGTTAAAGACTCGTGCTAATAACGTATAATAAAATAAGCTATAAGAAAAGAGAAGATAATTGAGGGGAAATAGAGCCAATGCTTTCTTATTCTAAAGTTAAGTGTACATCATCTTTCATAATACATCTATTTATAGTCTCAAGATTATGAAATATTATAAATGAAATTAAAAGCTAATAAAATGCTTTGAAGTTATAGAACTTGAAAGGTTTAAGAGTTAGAGAAGATGAAAGATTAGGAAGTTATAGAATTGCAAGGGACATCCACATTTATTCATAACATAAAAGTCATTTTCACAATTTTTTTTTTTTTTTTACTTTTTAATCTAAACATAATTTTTAGATACTATATTAAAGACATTTACACAGTTTTTTTAGTTTTTAATATAAAAATAATTTTTAAATACTATATTAAACACATTTTCAAATATTAAAAATTATAAGATTCAACTAAAAAATTTGAACAGTATTTTAGTTATTTAAATTTATTTTTGAATCACAAATCAAACTGGGTTTTTTGGTTACATCAATTTCTTTTATCATAATCCAAATCTAATTCTTGTTTGATTGAGATTACAAATTACTTTTCCATCAATTTTCAAAAGCAAACGTCTATTTTTTTTTTTTTTTTTAATTTCAAAGGGTTAAAAACTAAAAATATACTAAACATAAAAAAATCAATCATTGTCTTATATTAAAATTTCCTAGTGTCAGGAACGACATGTTTATATAAATTTAAAAAAATTGCAGAGAAAGCGTCAAAGTCAGCCGCAATTCTGGGAGGAAAAAATTATGTCAACTCATTTCGTTAAAGACACTGGTATATACGAATACCAACAGTATATTATGATTAAATGGTGGTGTCCTTTATAAAAATCATACCCTGTGGATCTGCTAACTATATAATCTCAGTTTCTTCAGATTCCCATCCACCAAAAACCAGAACATTCTTCTCAACACATAGCTCTTTGAATTAATTTAATTAAATTTCAAATAAATGTAATTTTTTGATTAATTTTGAATTTATTATTATGTTTATTGAGTTGAATGATTATATGAAAGTCCGTTAATGAAGCACTTACATGGTAAATAATTATTATTCTATAGGCCATCAGTACAAAAATTTCAAACCGATAATTATAATTATAAATTAATCATAAAATTGAGTGAAAAATTTTGAAATTGTAAGGGCGTTTATCATGTGGGTTGATGTCTAATTGAGTAGTCAACAGGTTTTAAACTTTCAAAATACACTTCATTCATTAAAGTTGAATTCCCCACCCCCCATCTTTTTTCAGTGGTTGGCAGTTGAGTCATTTCAGCTACTGCTTTTCTTTTCTTTTTATTAAATTTAATTAATTGCCTAATTTTTGCTGGCACCCTCAACCCTCTATAGTTTAAAAACTACACCACTCTCCCTTTTTTCACTTATCTCTTCTTTATCTTGTTTGGGGGGGGGGGGGGGTTGTTGGGGGCGGGGAATGATTACTGGGCCTGCCAAAATGTACTGTATATAAATTTTGAAATTTATTGAATTAATAGTACTGTATATAATTTTGAAATTTATTGAATATAATTATAGAAGATTGATTAAATTTACAACTGATGTTAGAACTTTTAAAAGATAGTTATATATATATTATTAATATATATATATATAACTATCTTTTTTTTTTTTTCCAAAATATAGATGATAAAACTTTTTAATGGTAGAAGAAACTAGTCACATTAAATTATCAACCAATGAAACTTTTGTATGATTCATTTATTCATAGTTATATTTTTTTTTTATATTCTTTTATAAACGTATATGGTTCCGGCCAAGACATGAATTTTTACAAGCCTACTTGTAGGCATCAATAACCTCTTCTCTTAGCTATAGCTATAATTGTAAGTAGTGATGGCAATGGGCCGGGCCGGACCGGGTACCCCTTGGCCCAGACCCAAGCTTGACCTCATGACAGGCCCAAGCCCGGTCCAAGCCCGCTACGGGTATGATAGGCAAAGCCTAAGCCCGCCCGACGGTTTTTTTATAACCATAGGCCCGGCCCAAGCCCGCCTTTTTTAATAATGTTTATTTTTAAATATTATAAATTTCAATTTTTTTTATTTTTAATTTTAGAAATAGTTTTTAAATATTAATTGAAGCTATTTCCGCAAATAATTTAAGCAATAATTGAGCAATTAAACTCCTAATTTTGATTGTACTAACTTTTCAGCTGTGATAATATGTTATGATAAATCCACTTTATAAGTTGAACCAAACTCATCTAACTTATTTAAGGCAATTTTAACATGTTAAATCTTCAATATGGGATAAAAATTGAGGTTAGGGTTTGAGAAAATAGATATATATGGATAATATTGTAATAAATATTAGTATAAGGGTAATTAGTAAAATTAATACTAAAATTTTCGGGACGGGCCGGGTCGCCTAAAGATGTACCCATCCGGCCCGTACCCGAGTCGGGCCTTAAATCAAGCCCAGCCCAAGCCCAAGCCCGCCAACCTCGGGTAAAGCCCGCCCTTTCGGGCCGGGCCGGGCCGGGTACCTGAAAATGTCGGGCCCATTGCCATCTCTAATGTGGTAGGTTAGTGATATTTCTAAACTCTATATAGGTGTTGTTGATGTTAGGTCAAATACAAGGTGGGTAAAAAGTTCACAAAATTAAAATTCTTCTTCTTTCCATTGAGTATTTATATCCATATTAAATATATTGGAAATATAGGCCATGAGGAATTAGTTAAGTGGTCAGACTGTAGTTTGTCCCTCAAGTTTGGTGTAATTTCTCTCATGACATTATTGACACCTATATATCCAAAGATCATTTTTCACACTTTCTAAAGATACTTCATAACAATTTAAAAAGAAAAAAAAAATTTTAAGAGTATTGCCCCAAAGACTGGATCATAACACACTCACTAAATTGATAAGCCGATGATAGCCATGTGTTAATTTAGAAAGCTTAATGTAAGGATGCTATTGGATTTGGAAGATGGATTGTCGCCGCCGCCGCCGCCACCAATCCTCTTAATCTCTATTAAATAAAATTGTATTTTGGAGTGATGAATATCATTTTGTGATATGGAATTCTATTAAAAATATTTTTTTTAAAAAGAAAAATTGGAAAATAATGAAATTCATTTAGAAATTTGAGAAAAAATAAGTAAATATTTTAAAACATTATTATTATAAACTTTAAAGTGATAAATAAGGGTATTATAGTCTTTATACTCAAGATTTGTTTTGCACGTTAAATTTTATTAAATTATGTTAAAAATATTGGGTGTGATTGTCATTTTTTTAAACCTATGGATGTAATGGTACTTAACACAAACCTCATTGGCGACAATGGTAATATCCCACAAAATAAAAACTCTAAAGCTACAGCCCTGTTTATAAGCACTTGTTGCAACATGAACAAAGCAGAGAGAGAAAGAGAGAAAGAAACAGCTCATCATTTCAAAGCAAAAGAAAAAGAGAAAGAGAGAGAGGAAGAAGAAGATAATAAAGAGAGAAAATCAACAAAGAAGAAGGGTTTCTTTTGCTGTCAAGATTGTTTGAAGATGTCTATAGAGCAACCCCAACAGAGCCAGAGCCAAAACTTGAACCAGTTAATGTTGCAGCAGAGCTCAGGTAGTCTCAGTTTCAACAGCAACTTGTCTAAGGAAGATGAAGAGATGTCGAAGTCTGCTCTCTCCACTTTCAGAGCCAAAGAAGAAGAGATTGAGAGAAAAAAACTTGAAGTAAGAGAGAAGGTTCAAGCTCATTTGGGTCGAGTTGAAGAAGAGACCAAAAGATTGGCCACGATTCGTGAGGTATCTTCATAAACCTTGCTTTTACTTTCTGGGTTTTAAGCAAGAACTAATTTTTCATGATTTGTGTGAGGAAGTTGGATTTTTTTGTCCTTTTTGGCTCAATTTTTGCAGAAATAAAGTGTAATTTTTGGGCCACTGGGGTTCTAAACTTGTGATCTGAACATAAGGGATGAAATTTGAGATTAAAATTATTGTATTAAGTAAATTTAGGCTTAATCTTTTGATTACAAAGGAGAAATGATTTATTTATTTGAAATTAAAGGGTAATAAACTATTTTTAAAGATAACGACGGTACTTTTTTGTTAAATCTGACAGTTAAAGAATTTTATACTCTAAAAGGAAAAAAGATTTGTCAGTTAAACTGAGTTTTATGTATACTTAGTAACAATAATACCAAATATCTGATGGGTTAAAGGAGCTTCAATGAAAGATTGTGAACCAAGTTCTGCCTTTTAGGCCACTTGAAACTGATAAATCTTTCGAGGGTTTGGTATTAATATTATTTTTAGTGGTTTCAGCCTCAAGCTGTTGTTGAAATGAGCAAATCATTTTACCCAAAAAAAAAAAAAATAAAGAAAAAAAAAAAATTAGAGTAAACATAATTGCTAACGGTTTTTGGGGTTTGAAATTAATAAAATTTTACATTTATCAGGAGCTTGAAGCGCTTGCAGATCCGATGAGGAAGGAAGTTTCTATGGTCCGGAAGAGGATCGATTCTGTGAACAAAGAATTAAAGCCTCTAGGCCATACCTGCCAGAAGAAGGTGAAGCTTCTCCCAAACCAAACTTTGATGCATGTTATGCAATATGAATTTACATGTTTATTGGTCAATATAATTGAAGCATCCTATGAAGATTTCAATTAACACCATTGAATGTGGGTTTATAATATGTCACAGGAAAGAGAATACAAGGAAGCCCTTGAGGCTTTTAATGAAAAGAACAAGGAAAAAGTACAGCTAATCACCAAATTAATGGAGGTTAGTTTCAATGTCTTTTCCTAGTAGAGATGGCAAAGGTAAATGTTGTAACCGTTTTTGTTTGTTTCGGATTATAACTTTACTTTCTTCTGATGGGATGAACAGCTGGTGAGTGAAAGTGAGAAGATGAGGATGAAGAAACTGGAGGAGCTGAGTAAGAGCATAGAGTCAATGCAACAGTGATATAGCCTAGTGCTGATAACTGATTAGGTTTGAGTGATGTATTTAAGATGACTTGTTATATTTACATATGGGTGTTTGGGGTTTGGTGTATTCTATGGTGTCCTTGTTTGTTTTTCAATTAGAATTTGTCGGAGTTTTAGCTGATTTAGGAAGGGAATTACCCTATAAACAGGTTTGTAACTAAATGCATGTCGACTCTGCTTTTCGTTTCCTTTTTATTCTTGTTCAACTTCGTAATGTCTCTTTTTAAGTTTTGTGTAATTTGGGGTTTTTTCCAAAGAAGAATGGGTCCATGATTTTCAGTTTGTAAACCAATTTGTGATCATAAAACCAAATTTTTTCATTCTTGCCTTTTTCTTTTCGAAGCAGTTCCAGTTTTTTGAAATTTCAGACCAAAACTGCTTTAACGAAGATTCCTTTTCGATATTAATGTTAAGACAATTTGTTCCAAGTTTCTTCCTTGAATCTTCTCTGAAATGCCGGAATAGTTCAGAAAGAACATTCAATGTTTAAGTGTTGAAGTTTTGAAAGTTTGCATCATTCTCTCTGGATCATGTCCTTTAAATGCAGATGGCAATTGCTTCAAAGAAGATTCTGTTCTATTGTTCATATAATATCTATCATCCACAAACACTATATTATACTCTTGCAAACTCAAAAGACATTTATGGGACCTTATCATTTAATTTTGTGGCTTGCTGGTCGTGTGGATGGCAAATGATTCGAATCATTCTCATAGCTGTTATGTTATTTTCCGAAAGTTGCTTTCAGATGCAACCTCCATAACGGTAATATCACTCTTTTAAGTTTTAACTCGTGGTGGTCCATCATCAATGTACTACTGACTCATCAACACTACTAGGTGAAAAACCTTCTTCATTAATCCATAATCTTCGAAATTTTCAGGAACCCAGAAATTTATTACTCTTTGCCGGCTTTAGAAAATAACCATAGTTTCTCCTTAACTAAACGTAAAAGGGTGTCTACAGTTTGTGAATGTAGACGAAGGGGAAGGGGGGACATGGATACCTTATCTTCTAATTTGTCCTATTTGATGGACAATACCATAATACATGAAAATGATACCAACTCCACAGAGTACTTGTTCTTTCTATCATTTCCTGGACCATTTTAATGAAATTGCCAATTGAAATGCCCATTTGTGGCCTTAATTTCTCATGGGATCCCAAGTATCAAAACAGAACTAATTAGGATGAGATTCTATACAGATCTTGTTAAACATTCAGCATGACCACATTTTTTTCTTATAAAGAATAATATACAAACTCAAACGTTGACTTATTTTTGGCTCAATTATATTGGGGAAAAAAAAAGAAGGAATAGTACTCTTCTGTGGGTTGAGGTACAGTTTTATGTTTTCTCTTAATATTAGACAGAAGGGCCAACTGTTTTCAACAACTACAACTGCTGGCAAAAGATGAAATATTTCTTTCTCATTCTCTTGTATTAAAATATAACTATTTGACTAATAGATAAGACAACTTAGAATTGTATAAATATGCTACTTCTTCCAATAGAAACCTAAATAAGTGGGAAAAAAAAAAAAAACCCATATAATTCATCTAACAATCATGTGAAAACAGAGTAATGATTCAAGGCACTCATTTCCAATTAATAGAATTCCAAATTAAACAAGGGATTAACATAATAAATTAAGGGCTGTCAGGCGATAACAATTTAAGGTAATGGTAAAAAGGTAAGTTAAAAATTAGCCGACAATAAGGGGCAGAGTTGTCTATGAAAAATACAAAGTCTGGGACCAAATTATTGAGTTGGAAGCAAGTGTGCAATTATGCCACAAAGCAAAAAAGCATGACTTCAGCTATTGCACTTTTAGGTGCAGAGCATCTTATGAATTTAACTTTTCTTTTCTCTGTTCAGTGGAAACACCACAATTCATTCATTGCTAATAAAATTAGGTTTTTATTGTAAATCTCAATTTCATAAGTGGTTTCTTTGTCAAGCTTTTTGGTTTGAGATAAATAAAACCTGAAATTGAGATGGGGGTTTTAGCCAAGAATCCAGCCGACTCTTTCTGCTGCAAAGTAGTATCTTTACAATCTCATGCTTTTCCCTTTGTTGCTTTATAAAAGGACGGTTCTCCTATATCTTGTTAGCGACTAACAAGAGTTAAAAGAAAAAGTATTCCGATAATATTTCATTACACATTAATTTAAAAAAAAAAAACAATATTTTTTCAAATATTTATCCCAAATTTCAAAACAATATTTTTTTCAAATATTTATCCCAAATTTCATATCTTAAATAACTCGTTATTATATATGGTATTGACACATCATAATATTTAAATGAGTAATACTTTTAAAACTTTTGACAAAAACATTACTCATTGACATCGTCTTATTTGATGAAAAAATTTTAGTTTGAGAATCCTAGAATTACTTGACAAGTTAAAGTTTGAGAAAGGGAAATTGACCAAATATTACAAATGTAAACACCGATGATGAAAGGGAATAAAAACTTTTGTAGAAAAAATAACGTGAATATATTTATATTTTTTAAAAGGCAAATTTCACAACATTTTAAGTAAGTTTGTTTTGAGAATTTACCTTTACAAATCATTTATTTTGTATCCTATTCCCACGAATCCCAACATTGAGGCTAATAGATCCCCAAGATTTCACATTTTTTTTTTCACGTTCTGATAGTGAGAGATAGAATTTCAAGTCGTGTTATGGTGCCTGTAAAATTAGTTCACGAGCAATACTACAGTTATCGAAGAATAAATACCAAATTTATGCATCGAATGACGTGATGTTATTATGTTTTCTTAAAAAAAAATTCATAATTAATTGATGATTAGAATGACGTTACGTTATCCCATATATGAATTTGACGTCCATTCTACTATAACTGTATTATTTTCTAGAAACATATTAAATATAAAAGTAATCATTAAATAGCCAATGCTAATCCAGTAAATGCCTTAGTTTGCGTGAAATTTTGTGGAACAATAACAAACATGTTAAAATAGAGGTTATTTTTATTACTGCCTTTTGGGCTTCTTTTAGACTTTTGCATGTGAAAGCCCTGTTTCGTAAATTCCTCATTATGCTATTGGGCTCGCTGGCAAAATTAATCATCCAAATCCCTCTTAAGAACTCTCACCTTTAATTGTACCCAGATTCATTGGGCCTCTCTTCCGCCTTTTAATTTAGGGAATGTTGTCTACTAATTTGTGACTAGTTTTATTTTAACGGTGACAATGCGAACTAGATTAAGTGATGAATAAAATTTAAAAAAATAAAGAACATAAATGAATAAGAAAACTTAAAAACATATTAAAGAAATTAAAGAGTAGATTATAAAGAATAATTAAAACCAAACATGGTATATGATTAAGCATTAAAAGATTAGTTGAAAGACTTAAGAATCTGAATTTACAATGAAAACTTTCTTTTTGGAGTGCTTTTGAGTGGTTACATATATTAAAAAGAGTGTGGGAGGAGAAACTTAGAGAATTGGCTTACAAAAGCTTGGTTTACAATAACCGACACTTACAATTTATAAAAAATTTATCATACTGTAACATCACACGAATACTATTGAGTTGAATCTTTGCTTTTTTTTTTTTTTTTTTTTTTAGAGCATCAAATGTCTCTTTGGTAGGGAATCTCTGACTCTTCATTTTTATGTCAAATATTCTCTTATTCGGATTTCAATTGAGAAGTTCTTTGGCCATTCTTCTTTTGAGAGAGAAGGTAATTTTGAACTGTTTTGAGTAAATTAGATGATTCCATAACAATCATCTTCATTGCTCTGGGAAAGATTGACTAAGGCACTAGAGCTTTAGTTAGATGATTCTTCCAACATCTTGGAGTTGAGAAAGAATAGTCTTGAGGTGGTCTTTAAGTTCTTGTTTTGTTTTGGCTCCTGCTAAGGACATTGATGCCACAATCTTTTTTGTATATTTGAGAGACAAAGTTGGATTTTTTTTTGGGACATGTGGGATGCATCATATTTATCCCACCACTTGACTTTAAATTTCCGGATCAAATTAGGGAGATTGCTAATATTTTGGACAATTTCATATTCTCATTGCAAAATCCATGAGAGGTGGAACTTTGCTGAGAAATAAAGTGATGGAGGGAAATTTGAATATGCTTCAGAAACTTTGAATTTTAGCTTGAACTCATTGAATCCTTCTTGGACAGTTGGGGGTAGGATTTCGGGAATTAATCCAAAATGATCCCACCATTGGGCAAACCAATTGGGAAATTTGAATAAAGTGTTTCTTTTGAAATAAATCATCAAGGAGTGCCTATGATGACTATTTTGGAGAAAAAAGTGATATGTTTCAAGGCCCTTGATAGTCCTAGTAATTATATCCAGGCGAATCAAAATTTTGGGAAATTTTTTTGAATTGGTTTGGATTGGATCCCCAATCAGAAGGACTAAGGATCTTTATGATATGAAGGGTTGAAGGAGTGATAAACCTTGGTCGGTTTTTATCTTCATAGTGTTTTAAACTTACAAGAGTCCGAATTAATAAGAATAAACTCATAAAATTTTTGAGTTTTCCCTAAATCTTCAGGGAAAAAATGAAAACTTTTTGGAAAAATTTGTTGAACTAATTGTTTAGAGTTTTCAAAATCATATCCATCTTTGAAAACCAAAAGATTTGAAACAATTCCTTTTTGAATATATTTTTGTCCTGGTTTAAGGACTTTTAATGGTGTAGTCGTAGGAACAAGTTCTTTGTTTTTTGAAAGAGCAATTTGAGCTGCCTTTTGTAGTTCACTTGATGAAATTTGTTTATATTGGGAAAAATTCTTGGGAACTTTTTGGAAAAGTTTGAGGATCTTTAAAATTCAAAATTTCATTTTTTGGTAAATTTGGTGTTAGCCCAATCATGGCTAGGGCTGCTTCTGGACTTTGCTGAAAAGAGTTTATCCAAGTCTGGATTCACTCTTTATTTGTTGGGCTCTGAGAAGAGCTTGTTGAGGCTATGCCTTTTCCTTTTGATTGTTGGGCTTTTTCTTAGGCTTCTTCTTCACATACTAGTTCATACCATGATTTGGTGTTTGTGGGCTTTTGGGCATAAGAAGCCTTTGATTGTTTTTGAGTGATTGGAGGGTTGGTCTTTTTGGGTGGCATGATGGTTACCTCCCTTGAAGGAATTCCTTGGTGAGGAAGTCATGCAAAGAATTAGCTTCTCCTTTCACAAATTCAATGTCAAAATCAAACACACATAAAATTGCTTGTCATCTTGCGAAAAT